CCTTTTTGGGTATTACTTGACCTTTTTGAGCCTTATTTTTTCAATTTCAGGCCAAATTTTCAAAAACAGGCCCTAATTTTGGTTCTGGGGCCCTAAACATTTTTACGCACGGCCCTAGGATGGGCCTAGAAAAAAAATGTTAGGCCAAAAATATTATAGGGCCTCTTTAGTTGGCCATTAATTGACCTTTTTGCCTGACCCTTTTGGGCCTTATTTTTTCAATTTAAGGCCAAATTTTCGAAAAAACGGGCTTTGAATTTTCAAAGTTTTGGTTCTAGGGCCCTAAAAGGTTTTCTGCACGGACATAGGATGGGCTCTGAAAAAAATGTTGGCCCAAAAATATTGTAGGGCCTCTTTAAGGGGCCTTTTTGGGCATAACTTGACCTTTTTGGGCCTTATTTTTTCAATATTAGGCCAAATTTTAAAAAAATGTGCCATCGATTTTTTTATTTTTGGTCCAAATTTTGATTTTAAGGGCCCTGAAAAGTTTTTGAGCCCCCCCCCCCTTACAAAAAGTTGTTGTTCTCTTTAAAGAGGTTAACCGTGTCTCAAAAATGTAACATATTGATGCAAAAACAATTGAAAAAACAGGTGTGGAAAGGGCTGAAAATCAGAAGAACCTTTCAAAGAAACATGTTAGTGGGGCGTTTGTACGTTTTTTGTCTCAAGTCAAAATTATTTTATCAACGTTTTTCTGGAGATAATGCATTGGCTTAATGTGTGCAGCTGTTTAAATCCTGAATAAATAGCCACAACCCAACATATGACTGTCTAAAATCTGTTGTGATACCTTCCATGATCCTTTAAATAAGATCTATGCTACAGTTCAAAAGTTATTCTCATATTTTGTATAAATTCCTTTTGATTTTATAAAACTTTTGTTATGTACCAACGCCCTATTTATTGCAAATTTACATCATGCGTTATCCCCATTTTACAGACAACCAAATAAGCAAATTTTTTTTTTCTTGCTCGTTTCACAAAGATGGCATTTATTTCTAAGAACAGGGGAAGAATCTAAAGAAGTTTTTTCATTGCTTTAATGTATCATTTTGAAAAGTTGTCAATAGTACAGTTTCCATATAGCTTTTGAAATCTCGCTAAATCTCGTTTTTCGTAAGATTTTAAGAGATTTGCATATTTAACCTCTAATGACTTACATTACCTTCTTTTAAATGGCATATTTGAATTCAGTGAAATGTTTTCTCCAAGAATAGCTTTGATTTACACAGTTATGTAATTTGAATAATTTTCTATGACAATTTAAAAAAACTTGGGCCAAATCTCCATAGATGCAATGCTAAAAATCTTTAAAACCCTGGATTATTTGTATATCAACCAACATTTGCACGTTTAATCACAACATGTTCATAAACAGGGTCATCATGTGGTATATCATTCAAGTTTTATACAGATTCAACTAATACTCTTTGATAAATTCTGGGCAAAATTTAAGGTGGCCATTTTGGATTTTCCGTCCTAAAATCTTCACTTTCAAGACTTGTCTACAGGTTTCCAGCCAAACCATTTGAGGGATTCATTTGAAATTTACAGGGATGTTTCTACATATCAAAGTTAAGAACTGATTAGTTTTTGGGCATTCTGGGTTAATTTTAAGGTGGCCATTTTGGATTTTCCGTCCTAAAATCTTCACTTTCAAGACTTGTCTACAGGTTTCCAGCCAAACCATGTGATGGATTCATCTGAAATTTTCAGGGATGTTTCTACGTATCAAAGTTAAGAACTGATTAGTTTTTGGGCATTCTGGGTAAATTTAAAGGTGACCATTTTGGATTTTCTGTCCTAAATTCTTCACTGTCACACTGCTGTGTTTTAGGTACGATATTGTTCACGTCTGTGCCTTGTTATTTGATAGGGAAACAGTATCAAATTGACACAAATTAGAGATCGAGTTCACCCTATGCAGACAGAGCCTGTGGGAAATATTGGGTGCGGCGCAAATGAGCGGAGGGTGCGGAGCTAACGGTCATTTTTGAATTTAAAATTGGGGTATTTCTGAAACTAAGCTGTTTTGGGACTTCAAATATACCAAGATATGTGTATTTGACACCAAATATCAATAAAATTGTGGAAATAGTAGTGCAATTCATTTTATAGCGACGCAGTATGCCTTAAACATTTCCCAGACCTATATATTTTGAGACTATCCTTTTAATACTGCGTCCCCAGCATTCATAAAAAATGGTGTTCAAGATACACTACCCATGCAAATTATTTTTGCATCTTGGAAGCCAGGCAGTATCAGTGTGATTTTATAAAAATTCGAATCACACTGATACTGCCTGGCTTCCAAGATGCAAAAATAATTTGTATAGATAGTGTACCTTGAACACCATTTTTGGCTCACACAGTGAGCCTATGGGATCGACCAGGCGTCCGTCCGTTGGTCCGTCCGTCCGTTGGTCCCTCCGTTGGTCCGTCCGTCCGTTGGTCCGTCCGTCCGTCAACATTGGCCGCACAAATTAAAACTGCTATTCGGATTGAGTCATATCCACATTCATTTTATGCATATCCATAATGCCTATTTGACCTATCATCGCTATTTCCCAAGTTCGCCCGGTTTCCAAGAAATTGCGGATCAAAAAGTCAAATTTTCTGTAAATACTAGACACTTTGTTGAAGTAGAACTTTCAAATAACTTTTAGTAGTTGGTGTATATACAACTTATATCCTCTGAAGATTTCAAAGCCCTTGGAAGTACGGATTTGGTGTTTACTCTATAAGATTTGAGAAAAGGTAGGACTTAGTCATTTTCAGGAAACTTTCTCATGTATAAAGTCAATGGCAGGTTTTGTGATTGACAAGATTCTTAAAGTTTGCCTTATACTTGATCATTTCCTGCAATAAATTACATCATTAATAGATTTAAGCATTCCCTACATATTTCTCAATATATGTCAGCATCAAATTTTTACTGTTTTTGAGATATTTGACGTCAAAAAACAGTAAAAATAAGTTATTTTTCAACTTGCTTCAATTTGACCAATTTTTTTTTGAAAATCATCGACAAGTTGCCAGGAGTTCAATCTGACATTAGTTTTAGGATTTGACATTTACTTGACCTTCAGTGACCTTCGAAAGGTCAAAAAAGTTGATTTTTCAAATTGATTTTTGGATGTAAATTTTGGTCAGCTTAATCACAAAAGACCTTACTGAGCTCTGAATAAGTAAAATTTTCAAGGTCAAAGGTCATCAAACTAGGTCACACAACTATGCTATCTAAGTTTCTCAAAGTTTCGAGACTAGAAATCCAAATCAATATTTTTGTTTGAAAGTCAGGATATAAATTCCTCTGAAGGTTCCAAACTGTGTGAGCACAGGACCGTGGGTCCTTCATTTATGAATGCTGGGGACTCAGTATTAAAAGGATAATTTCAAAATATATAGGTCTGGGAAAGGTTTAAGGCACACTGCGTCGCTATAGAATGAATTGCGCTACTATTTTCACAATTGTATTGATATTTGGTGTCAAATTCACATATCTTGGTATATTTGAAGTCCCAAAACGGCTTAGTTCCAGAAATATCCCAAATTTAAATTCAAAAATGACCGTTAGCTCCGCACCCTCCGCTCATTTGCTCCCCACCCAATATTTCCCACAGGCTCTGTCTGCATAGGGTGGAGTTGTAGGCGTCGTTCTGCTATATCACATTTATCACTAAACAAAACAATACTCTATGGTTGCAATAGAAACCTTAATAGTGTGTTCTGTAGAGCAGTTTCATTTCATTATTAATTTTCAAATTAACAAGTAAATTAATACTGTGACAAAAAGATCGCAAGAAAAAGGAGAGGAGAGGCACACAGGTATTACATTAAGACTCCACCAATCCTTCAGTCCAAGAACCAGCAAAATCATTGGAAACTAAGCTATATCTCTGAATATTTTGAGTGAACAAAAACATGTTTACTGGTACCAGTTGATGTGAGTGCAATTATTGAGTAAATTGAATTGGTGGCATCTCACTTTTCTTGTCTGGTGGCCATCTTGGAAGTTTTCGGCAAGCCGCATTTCACTTTTCTTGTCATCTCAATTCCAAGAAAACCACATCATGAATTTACTTCAAATTTTCACACACGTTACATGGTAAGAGGTTCTAGAGCTGATTAACCTTTCCGTGGCCATCTTGCATTCTGGTGGCCATCTTGGAAGTTTTTAGATAAATCTTGTCATTGCGATTCCAGGAAAACCACTTTACGGATTTAAGACTTTATGCACACCTTTTATTGCGTCCAAGTTTCATTAGAATTTTATTTGAATTTATAATTAACAATGTTTTATTGAGCATCAAACTTCCCGTCGTCAGTCTTGGCAAATACAATTGGTTGCCGGGATATTGAGCCCAGGCAGCCAATTACAGATTGGAGCACATTGAAGTGGGTTATTTTAATTTAATTTCGAATTTCTACTGATGTAAGTGTAATGTTTTTTGGCCTGCTCCCAAATTCTATTAAAGTACGGCTATGTTATACTGAAATTGGATGTTTTTTGATTATAGATCACATATATTTTATTTTTTCTGATTTGTGCCCTTGAAAATATCAAAATGGCTAGTCAAACATATATTTGGTAGGAATTCTGAGATCATTATTCACCTTTCCACAAAGTAAAGAAAATCAATAATTTCCGGTGCGCTGATTGGTTGTATGCAAATGAGTCAAATCAATGACGTCAATGACTGAAATTTTTAGTCGGCCCTCGGGCAGATATATTATATCCTGAACCTCATATAGGATAATCTCTATATATTTCTCAGAAATATATACTCTGTAGTATATACTCTGTGGTATATACAGTTGAAAACGAGGCTGCAGCTGGAGACTGCAGGAAACAATGAAATATACCCTAATATTTTTAATCATGTGATCGGTTCTTATCTAATGAGAAAGTGAGAAACATTTCAATATTAATTGTATAATATTATTTCAGATTCAAGAATATTTGTTATTTATTCTCCATATATTGCTATATTTTTCAGATCCTCCATATGCATGTAGCATCAGTGGAAAAGCTAGCATTGACCACTTCAGGTTCCCCTCTGCAAATCAAGTGCAAGACATTCCTCAATGTAACATTCATCATCCCCCGAGAGCGTGATTGTCATGACATCTATTGCTCACTCATGAAACTAGCAAAACCAGGTGAGTATTGAATTACAGTAAAACCTGTGTATAGTGAACATTTTTTTACCGAGAAAAAAACGTTCACTGTTGGTTGGTGTTCACTACAGCAAGGATTGGATTTCGCTGCATTTTGCCGTATTATATAGACCCCAGTTATTATCCCATCGAACAAAGTTCGGAGGGATATAGGGAACGCCTCAGTCCGTCTGTCCGTCCGTCCGTCCGTACATACATCCGTCCGTCTGTCCAGGCAGTAACTCAAATACCGTTGGCCCGATTTTGTTCATATTTTGTACACATATACCCTATGGGGGTAGAAGTTCTGCTCGAAAGCCAATTTTCAAAATGGCCGCTCATTTTTTAAAAATGGCGGCCATTTTAGTGACGATTTTTCAGTAATTTTGGTGCAATATGGAAAACTGTAATAGCAATATGTTTTAAATGTAAAAAATTATATAGGACATTGATAAAGCTAGAAATGTAGATATTAAAGAAGCACATGGCAGCCATCTTGAAAAATGGCGGCATTTACTAGTTATTTTACGATTTTTGCTGTAACTCAAGAAGTAGTAGGGCGATTTTGTTCATATTTGGTATGTGAATACTATAAGCATGGCTCACTGTCTAATGACACTTTTGGTAGGAGGTGGCTATTTTGAAAAATGGCCACCAATTTTAAAAATGGCCGCCATTTTAACATATTTTACTATTACTCAAAAGTAGTGGAGCGATTTTATTCATATTTGGTTTGTGAATACTATAAGCATGGTACACTGTCTAATGACACTTTTGGCAGAAGGTGGCCATTTTGATATTTGCTCTATATTTCGTTTGTAAAAATGCCAGCCATTTCTGTTCGATGGGATTCGCTACGCTTTGGCGTTGCCGTTGTTCTAGTTGAACAAGGCTAAAAGAGAAGAGGGAATAATCAATTTAATTTGTCGTATTTTCTATTCATGATAAAACTTGACACTTAAGCTTTAAGGTCTTGTTTTGTTAAGTGTTATATAAATTGACTTATTTTAGACTGACTGTCATCTGAATGGTTCATCCTTTTCTTGTCAAATCTCTATATAATGCTTTTTAATCTCATCAAAATGATCCTTTAAACATGTTAAATAGTTGAATCCTTGACAGATTTGACTCAGTTGAAGGACTTAATTGAATTAATCAAAGGACATGACAGAGTCAATTAAGGGCGATCATTATATTTTTATTTCAATCTGTTTTTTAAATTGATGGGGATGAGATATTAAGTTGGGACTTAGCAGATAGAGGTAATAATAGTTAACCAGATTATCTTTAAAGCAATCAAGGCTAGACACTTTTCCTGTATTACAAAAACAAAGCTTATTAAGAAATATAATTAGTCACACCTGTTTCAATAGATCAACATCCCAAATTGACCTTTTAATTATTTTTGGCGGGTAATATTAACATTAACTGTTTAACTCTGTTAAGGCAGTTGCAGAAAATCTGTGAGTAATCTTATATCTGATCCAATGTTCACTCGAGACAGGATAATTCTATTGATTTTGCCAAGATTTAATGTTCACTGTTCAAACTAATATATTAAAATAAATGCAAAAAATGAACATTGTTCAAACATTCATACTTCGGGAATATTGGTTTTGGTAATGGTAGATCCACAGTTATATTGTATGTTTCATCATGTACGAAAAATCAGAGACATATTTGAAAGATGAGATCATCACTACAGCACTTCCAAGACAAGAGTTTGTCTCGATGTTTTAAAAGAGTAATATTCGGTTCAGTTTTATTATAGTAATAATAGTAGTGGGCGACGCCCACTTTTGATCACTCATGTAATTGTATGTTCTTTGACACTGACCAATCATGTAAATTGCAATATCCTTTATATTTAAACAAATGTTTGAACTGTACTGGTTATTTTGAGTGTGCTAAAATGTGCTGATATGTGTGGATTCAAAAAATAATCCATATTCTACATGATGTACATGTTCAGGTTTTGCAAAATTTAGGATATTTTGAACGAAAATTGTGGTTTCCATGACAACCATGAGTGACAGAGCATTGAAATTTTACATACTACCTCAGCATGATTCAATCAACTCCCCATAAAATTATTATGATGATTGAAGACTAACAGAATGATTTATTCAGTGATAATAAAGTACCCCATGTAATTTTCCATTTTAGGGTCGAAAACACCAATTTGACAACTTTCGCCCCGGATATGGCGCGTCAGACAAACATTTTCTGAAGTATCACATAAAAATACATAAGAAACAAGTAATTTCAATTTGTTCACGAACTAATACATTTTTGGGTGCTAGCTTACTACCTATATAGTAATATGTGAAATGACTCAGGGCCTACCAACTAATTTGAAGGTGCATAAACTATTCTCAGTTTTATATTATGTCACCACCAAAAAGTGCTTGTCCATGAATTCTATGAATTCTATCAACGCTGATACTGATGCCTAGGGACAAAGAATATCTGTCAAAGAAAATCTTTTCAAGATGAGTGCTGTTACTGATTACCCAGGTTATCAGAATTGGTCCATATTCTATAGGCTGTGTTATGGCAATAAAACATCTGCTTAAAGTGCCTGATAAACTATAAAATGCGCATGCGTCCAGGTGTTGATAAACTATAAATAGCGAAAACCCAGGGTTTGTCATCACAAGGTAAGCCAGGACGTGTTGAGCGAACATCTAGTGTTGATATTGAATTTACATGGAGCCAGATAATTTTCCTTATTGAAATTACATATAGTTATTAGCAATACTTTGTAGGTGATAATTAATAAAATATGAGTATATATGAGAGAAATTGGCCATTTCGAACCTGTTGAAAGTTTGTGGTTCTCGGCTACACCGGGGAATTTACTTCCATGAGTACAGACACAAATGTGGGGCTCTCCAAGAGGTACGCGAGAAGGTGACCTGGCATCAAATGTACGACTAAATGCTTCTATCGAGTAGATAAAAGAACGAATACGACAATAAGTTATTGGAAACGACAATTCCAAGCATTCATCTCACTGAAGTATTTTGAAGTGAAGAAAATATGATTTTTGTTTTGAAACATGGATTCAGATGAACGTAACTTCATTCTGACAACTAATCAAAACTGAACAAAATTGATTATACGTAACAGACGATTTATTGTTTTACAATGTTTTGATCGGCTAAACGAATGAAACCAAGAAATTATGACATGTAAAATGGCAATGGTAAAATTTAAAAGTGACAAACACAACCTCCCTATCCACTCTTTATGAGCCCTAATATGTACATGCAGCAGTGGTAGTGTACAGCTTATTATCACACTACTGGGCTTTGTATTCTAAAGCTTGTTGTTTTTAATAACACTGTTCACTCGACGTAAATGTTTTGTATGTGCGCAGTCAACGATAATCATTGTTTTATCCCGGTTATATGACCTCGGCAATTATAACAAAACCATACTAAACGAAAAAAACGCAAATAAGAGAAAGCTTTCACACACATATAAAAAATGAACTAGTCTAATCCGCCAGTATAAACTCTTTTATATACGTAGCCAGGTCGGGCGCACACTTTAAGAAGAAATTTTGGAATATGACAACTCAATACCCCAGATGGGAGTAGAAATAATCTTCATTTACGTCATTAAAAGTTCAGTCAAACTGGAGTCTACATGTAAAATTACATCTAGAAATGTGGTTCTGAAAAGAGGTTATCAACTTTGAAAATTTAATTTTATTTAGAAATGTGACTTCAAGGTCGGGGAGATTCCCCATTGACCCCGGCCCATGTTTTAAAATCACAAAAAATGAAATATCTTTTCATGTGTTAGGCAGATAATATTTTCATTTACTGGACATATTTTAATTTGTATAATTATCAGGGAGATAAGGGTAACATAAAGAGTGAACCACTAAAACTGATGAATATTCAAGTTTAAGGGAATTTTGTAACACCCTGAATCAGCCACATGGTGGCGAAACTGGTAACTACCTACTCGCATCTGAGAAATTGAAAATGCCTAACATTTTTCATAAAAAAATACATGTACTGTACTTAGACCTCTGAACACTTTCAGGATAGTAATTGAATTTAAAATGGCTACCATTTTTTATGAAAATATGTCACTTGAAATAGAAAAAATTAGCAAATTTTCACAGGGGAAAATAAAAACAAAATTTTCATCAATAATTTAAGCAGAAATAAAGACATCGAAAAACAGGATTTTTTGTCGACTCCTGGCTCAATTTTTTAATCAAGTTTACTCTAATTTTCTTCACGACTTGAACCACTAATACTAATACCCCCAGGCCTTTCAAGGTGTTGGTAATTACCCAGATGCAAGTAGGTAGTTACCAGTTTCATCACCAGGAGTTAATTAACATGGCAGGCATAAAAGAAAGTTCCCTTAAACTTAAATAATATCAGTGTTAGTAGATCAATTTTCATATAATCCTTAGGTGTCTGATAATTATACAAACGAAAATATGTCCATTAAAGGCCCCATGTAAAGTTTAAACCACTTTGGCTTATATTGTAGTCTTACCCAATGTTATCAAAGTGTGATATGTGAAACTTTTTTTTTTTAATTTCAAAAAGTGGTTTTTGATAGACATTTTGTTCCAAAATTTGTGAATTTATTTAAAACCAACTTTTAGAGGTCACTCATATCTTCTAATTATCCACAATTCATACCAATGCATATAGCATTCATCCTCCCATGTTTTTTGCCGAAAAAGTTAAGAAAATCGGTTGATAAACAAGCGAGAAATGAACTTATCAGTGCATGAAAATGGTTCTGAGAAAAATGCATTTCAAAATTATAGTTCTCATAGAAACCAATGGTACAATGTTATCTAAAACATAATTTATTCTTCCTTTTAACCTGGTTAGACAATCAACATTGGTTTTTTATGAAAGTCTAGCATATTTAGAAAAGATTGACATCGAAAAAAATTTTTTTTTTCAAAAAGTTTTATTTGATAGGCTAAAACATTGAAGTGGCCCATTAAATATGGCATTTTATTATCGAAATAGTGTGTCCTTTGTTCAATCTTTGCATTGGTGTTAAAAAGATAAGTTTTTTTGAAATGCATTAAGGAATATTTGATGATTAAGAAATTTCTGACAAATAGTAAATGAATGATAAAAAAATATTTTCAAACTTTAGACGGGGACTTTAAAAGAAAATATTGTCTGCCCAACATAAGAAAAGATGTTGTAACATGGGGTCTAAGGGGAATCTCCCAAACCTAGAAGTCACATTTTCAAAGAAGAGTAAAGAAGAGAAGTTGGTAAATACTATTAACCACATTTCTAGATGCAATTTTACATGTAGACTTTAAAGAAAGATATCCCGTTAACTAAATTTTGAATATTTAATGAAGTAAATCAAGATTATTTCTACTTGTATATTGTAATTTCAAACCCAATGTGACAAATAGCATTACTCTTTTGATATTCATTTGACTTGACTAATATTGGCTCTTTTTACCTCATCCCTCACATGAAAACAATCAATTTGGCAATATTACGTTGTATGATCGTAAAGTGAGAGAAAATAGGCACTTGATCAAGCAGAGTTATAGATATCTTGAAATAATTTGATTCATGTCAGATATTGCCAAACTCTTAAGATTGATGATGATTGATTGTTTTGAAAGACAATAACTAAAAAAAGACTACTAGATAACAGGCCCGTCAGATGGGGGGGGGGGGTGCGATGGGTGCGACCGCACCCCCCTTTGACACCCCCCAAAAAAAATTTAAAAATTAAAAAAAAAAAAATGTTGAAAATTTTTTTTTGTATTTTTTTTCATCATCTCATACACTTTTAAAGTGCCCAGAAAGCATCAAATAACATCTTAAAATTGTAAAATTTTCTAGAGGGAGTCGGCCACCCCTCACACCCCCCTCAATACAATGGAAAAGTTCTGAATTTATTTTATGTATTGTCTCAGACACTTTTAAAGTGCCCAAGTGCCCACACATCATCACATAGCTCCTTGATATAGTCAATATTTCTGGGAGACTAACACTTGCTCCCCTTCGGGATCCCCATCCCACCTCCCCCTCTGGCACCCTCGCTCAACCCTTGACACCCCTCCAAAATTTTTTAAAAAATTGTGATTTTCTCAATTTTTTAATTAACTCATACACTTTGAAAGTGCCCAGAGAGCACTAAATAGCGTTTTAAAATTGTAAAATTTTCTAGGGGGAGTGGACCACCCCTCACACCCCAAAAAACAATTGAAAAGTTCTGAATTTATTTTATGTATCATCTCAGACACATGTAAAGTGCCCAGACATCATCAAATAGCTCCTTGATATAGTCAATGATTCTGGGAGACTAACACTTACTCGCACTCTTGCATCCCCACCCCACCTCCCCCTCTGGCACCCCCTCCCCCTTTGACATCCCCCAAAATATTGTGATTTTTTCAAAAAAATTTATCGTGTCATACACTTCGAAAGTGCCCAGGAAGCACCAAATAGCATCTTAAAATTGTAAAATTTTCCAGGGAAGTAGGCCAACCCTCACATCCCCCGCAAAACAATTGACAAAAATTCTGAATTTATTTCATGCATTGTCTCAGACACTTTTAAAGTGCCAAGACTTCATCAAATAGCACCTTGATATGGTCAATGTTTCTGGGGGCAGATATGGGGGACAAACACTTGCTCCCCCTCTGGCACCCTAATCCCACCCTCCCCTTTGGCATCCCCTTTGACACCCCCAAAAATTGAAAAAATGTAATTTCGATTGACTCATACACTTTAAAAGTGCCCAGAAGCACCAAATATCATCTTAAAATTGTAAAATTTTCTGGAAGAGTTGGCCACCCCTCACACCCCCACAAAACAATTGAGAAAATTCTGAATTTCATGTATTGTCTCCTACATTTTTAAAGTGCCCAGACATCATCAAATGGCACCTTGATATGGTCATTGTTTCTTAGGGCAACCCCTCGCTCCCCCTCTGGCACTCCACACCACTTCACCCTCTCATTCTCTTTGACATCCTCAAAAAGAATTTGAAAAAAATTCACTTTTTATTGACTCATTCACTTTAAAAGTGCCCAGAAAGCACCAAATGGCATCTCAAAAGTGTAAAATTTTCTAAGGGGAGTGGGTCACTCCTCACAAGTTTGGAAGTTGCATTTGTTATTTTAAACACTTTAAAAGTGCCTAGAAGTCACCAAGTGACATAATGAAATCATGAAAACATAAAAATTTCTGGCAGCCCACTCCAAAAACTAAAGCATTCATTTACTCAAACACATTAAAAGTGCTCAGAATTAACCAGACAGCAACTTGAATTAGTAAAATTTTCCTTGCTGCCCCCCTAAGAAGAAAATGATTGAAAAAAATCTGAATTTCGTATCAATAGATTCTATTTCAATTAAAACACCTTGAAAGGGTCCAGAAATCACTTAATGTGATCTTGAACTGGTAAAAGTTCTCGGGCATTTATGCCCTTCTACAACCTCCCCCTATTCCAGTGTTTCTCCAAATTTCTCATACAATATTTAGTCTAAAAACAAAACGAAAACAATAAAATACTACAAAATATAGGGAGTAACTGACCCCCCCCCCCCTTTGACTTACGCAATTTGATTTATGCGGCAAAAAATGGACAATTTTATTTTCTCTTTAGTTAAAACCGCACCCCCTTGGAGAAAAGTGTCTTACGGGCCTGGATAATATATTTATACATGAATCTCAGTGGATAGAATTAGATATATTCAATTACTCTATTTATTAATGCAGGTGTTTTAAAGGCATTAGGCTCAATGCAATCATCATGAAGAGTGCACAATGTTCCTTTAGCAATGGGCCTCTAGACATGACCTTAATCAATATGAAAAATTGTTGCTCCTTGAAGAAAACATGAACTGTTCACAATTGAAACCCTTCTGAATGTTTGATTGTTTTTCTATACTTTCAGCCAACTTTGAAGACCTGTATGCCTTCCAGTATACAGCAACTTCAGACATTGAGAAGCAATATGGTTGGGACATGTACTCCATTGAGAATGAATTCTGCAGGATGGGCTTACCAAATGATAACTGGATTCTGACAAACATCAATAAAGATTATGAGGTACAGTGTTATTAAAGGCCATTAAAGTGGCTCAACCCATCACTCTAATATACCATCATACTCCAAAGTTCATTAAAGTTTAAACAACTTGCTACTTAATTAAAGGCCTCTTACATGTTGTATTTAAACCATCTTATTTTGGTGTACCATCTTTATGGAATTTTGGAGGACGCTTATTACAAACCTGTCAATTTTAATCTTTGACGCACCTTTCAAATTGTGAATTAAAAGGTTCAAATCTGCTCTTTACTCTGTACTTTGTATTAAATAAGTCAATATGGTATCATGTTCACATTCTACAACTTGCCCCTTTAATGTCTATTAAGTTCCTCCCTTTTAGAATGGTTTTATTGTTGCATATTCACTAACATTGACATTTGTAACTATTCATTTTAAGAATCTGAATGTACAAAGTATTCAAATCAGTTGAATTAGTGAATCAGCAAACTAAAACAAAAAAGCAGACATTTCCAGAATAAAAATGAAGAATATATTTGACTTCAGATTTGTGACACATACTCAAGCAAGCTGTATGTGCCCAAGTGTGCCAGCACCCCAGTCCTAGTGGGCAGTTCAAAGTTCAGGAGCAGAGGGCGTTTACCTGCCCTCTCATACCTTTATAGCAATCAGGTAACACTACTAAAATGTCTTATTACCTGTTTTTTCAACTTAAGTGAGGCTATACACACACCCAATAAAGTAGCACTGAAATAATAGTTGCAGCTTCCATTGTATATATGTAATCTTATAAATACAGTGTATGAATGACAAACATTTCAAGATAATGTAGCATAACCTTAAAATGGATTTCTAGGTTTAACTGCAAGGTGCAGCTGCTAAAAATCATTATTATGCTCCAACATTTAAAATGAAGAATGAATTGTCACCTAATTTACGTTAAGTATAACTATTTACATGCATATGGTATCTTGAAAGATGCTTAGATCTTGAATAAAGTTTATTTTATGTTTCTATTCAGGCTGCTATCTGTAGATGTTCTCAGCCTCTCTCTGGGTTCAGTGCTCGTTGTGTAGAGGATGAGCAGATGCTACAGTCAATACTACGAGCCAACCCTAACTCCCCTTATATGTATGTTGTGGATACTAGACCAAAGGTGAGTGATTTGTTATGTGCTGTTAAGTAATGTTTGAAATGTTTTATTATATTTTATTATATTTCTGTCATGCTTACTATCATGAATATCATGAATATTATTTATTCATATGTCTAAATATTGATTGATAAATATAATAGTTAAAACCTCTGGGTATATGCCATGTCAATCTTTATCAAATCTGAATTAAGTAAATTCCTTTGGTGAAAATTGAATGAAATATTTGTTTCTATGGAAGTCACTATTCTCTATTTATTGATTCATTTGTCTAAACATTGATAAAAAAACATTTATAAGGTGAAAAAAATCTGTTTACTTGCCATCGTTATAATCTTGATATACCATGTAAACATTTATTGGTACATGCATACTGAACAAAACATATTTATTTTTAAAATTCCTAAGATATGGATTCACCAGTTGTCTAATTTGATAAGTACAGCCAATGGATATCACCTGATCGTTTATAACATGTGACCCAATTTTGACCAATCATACAGTCGCAAGCTAATGACAGTGATGTACGAGCAAATGTATAGCCATTTCAAATGTAGTATTCCAGATCAAATTTGTTAGTGAAGTACAATTACAATAGAAGTGCATTACTATAACAGCTTATTTTAACCCAGAAGATTTTACCTAGGCCTGTAAACATATTTCATTTTATGAACTATTATAGAGCACTCATAGTAAGGCATGCATTACAATATTTCTGAGCTTTCGATCGATCCATTTCCATTCAAATCAGAAACAATGTAAAGGAATATGGGAATCTCTGTCTCCAAATACATTGATATCCCAATTGCTGATTCTACAGAAAGTCAATAATTGATTGCAGATCAATGCTATGGCAAACAAAGCTGCAGGGAAAGGATATGAGAATGAGAGCAATTATACAAACATTAAATTCCATTTTTTGGGCATAGAGAATATTCATGTCATGAGGAGCAGCCTAACAAAGATGCTAGAAGGTATGTGAAATCTTAAAAATAGGTTCCACTATATTTCTGTGGCAGACATTTTAGGTAAAAATTACTTTCAAATTCTCAATTTTACATGGATACTGGAATAGACTACTGGATCATAATTTGGAGAAAAGGTCAGTCATTTTGATAGATGGAGAACATTTTATATGTGTGATTTAACATTTTTGTTTTAACTTCAAAAGTTATACATGTAGAATGATTTTGTTGATATTTGTTTATATGTAAATACATGCAAGAATAAAACAATGTTTTTTGCAATTCAAACAAATAAAATGAATTGTATGATAGCCATTTTGAGAAATGATTTGTGCGAGTCTTTTCTGATACTGATAGTTGCTATTGCCCTGGCTCTTATCTAGTTATTATTTTCCAGCTTCTTATGTTCTCTATATTCATGGGCTTTCAACTAGACCTCTAATTGAAAGCCCATGGTATATTTAAACTGCATTTTCTTTGAAACTAACAGAAGTTTGAAAATAAAGGATTGTGAGTCTTGTACCATGTACTTTTGTTCCAAACCTTTGCATTGGAAACAAAACAAGTATATCTTCCAACTGGTGCATTTTTTAATACAAAGTAGTTTGTGGAACATTATGTTTAAAATATGCACCATAATGTATTATGAAATATGCACCATAATGTATTATGAAATATGCACCATAATGTATTATAAAATATGCACCATAATGTATTATAAATGAAGATCATGTAGCTGGGATTGATGAGAATATTTTGGTTTGTAGTGTGTGAGTTAAGAAACCCTAGTGAGACTGCATTTCTGAAGGGTCTAGAAGACTGCAAATGGTTAAACCACATCCGCAATGTGCTGTGTACATCTGTATTTATTTCAAAGGTAGGTCAGCATCTTGATATAATACATGACATTGTAATTATCCAAAGATAAGATAATTTGTATACCAGATGTTCTTCTTTCGAAGATGGCCGTCGCTTTAAAAAAGCTGGAATTTTTCTCAAAAACCTTAAGCTTTTCATTTTAAACTTTTAAGGGTAAACTGGGCAAGGGTACCTCAGATCCTCAGATTCGCTTTGGAGAACATGTTGAGGGGGCCACATGTTTATGTAGATAGACCCAATGATAGACCCAATGATCATATGAAAGAAAAAAAGGAAAATTACAGAATGATTCAGTTAAAGGTCAAGCTTCTACTCAGAAGAAAGTTAAATGTTAAAGAAACTGTTCCTCTTTTGTCATTTGGTCCATCCAATCACTTAGAAGTTGGCGCATGTCAGATTTTACCATGGGACACTCAAAGCTGTTCTGTTCAAGGACAGATTTTGAATCTGATTGTGTCAAATTATCCTAGAAAGATTTGTCTTTTGGTATCCAAAGTATATTTTAGGGGAAAAGTCAAAATGATGAAAGATATTGAACTTTTAGTAAGTGTAACATGTTTTTGAGACCCACTGTAGTATTGTCTGTATAATTTTTGTGCCTTTTAGGCTGTTCAAGATGGAGTTAGTGTTTTGGTGCATTGCTCTGATGGTTGGGACCGTACAGCTCAGACCTGTTCCATTGCTGGTATTCTGCTAGACCCATACTATAGGACTATACAGGGTTTCCAGGTATACTTTCATATTAAGATACAACATATATCGTCATCTAGAGTTTACTATTATACTGATCATATTAGGGAGAGGTCAACCTTCCTCATTTTTTCACTATAGATAACTTTTATGGACAATGAGCTGAGAAGAAATGCAGCTCGCCTAATAGGAGTTCACTTTTATTCTGGTCACTGCTTTACATTGTAGGCCCTCATAGAAAAAGAATGGCTGTCATTTGGTCACAAGTTCATAGACCGCTGTGGCTTCTTGGAACATGTAGAAGTGAAGGAAACATCCCCCATCTTCACTCAATTCATTGACTGTGTATGGCAGTTGAGCAGGCAGTTCCCATGTGCTTTCCAGTTTAATGAGAGGTTCTTACTGACCATACATGATCATGTATATTCCTGTCAGTATGGAACCTTCATTGGAAACTGTGAAAAGGATAGAGTTGATTTGAGGTTTGTTCTCAAAAGAAAATAATTTGGACTTTGTTTAGTGCAGCATTCTGACACAATCCATTAAATATTTTAAGGAATTGTTAATTATCCCATCGAACAAAGTTGGGGGATATAGAGAAAGGCTCTGTCCGTCAGTCTGTACATCCATCCATTACTCAAATACAATTGGCCACATATCATTTATACTTTACAGGTATATGCCCCATGTGAGTTCAAGTTCTGCTCGAAAGCTGATTTCCAAATGGCCACCAGATTTAAAATGACTACTATTTTACAGTATTTTAGGAATAACATGTATAACTTAAACTGTAATAGTAATATGTTTTAAATGCAAAAAGATAAAGGATATTGAATAAGTTGAAAATCTAATAATGTTTTAAAAAAAACAAGTGGCAATCTTGGTGGTCGTTACATGTTTTATGAATTTTGCTGTAACCTAAGAAGTAGTGGAGCGATTTTGTTGTTTTATATGTGACCACTTAGAAGCATATCACACTTTATTATGACAACTTGGCTAGTTAACAGCCATTTTGAAAAATGGAGAACATTTTAATATGTATTATTTTATGTTTTGTTAGAATTTGAAAAGTAATGGAACAATTTTGTTGAAATCCGTTATGTTAATACTAGTAAAAAGCAGACAAAGCGGCCAGTTTGAAAAATGGTGGCCATTTTTATATGTGCTATTTTAAGCTTTTTGCTTTAAATGACAATTTGCCTAATAGGCAGTCATTTCCAAAAATGGGAGCCATGGCTGTTCGATGGGATTTGCTATACCTTGGCTTTGCTGTTATCTAGTTTTCGTAAGCTAGTATTAGATAATTTCAAAGTGTCGAAGAAGACAGAAAAAAGATTTTAACATTGTATTTATAATTCTAAAGGGACTGTTTTAGTAAAAAAAGATATGTTTTATGTTTCATGTTTTATTGCAGGCTATCAGAAAGGACATATTCTTTGTGGGGACATTTATCTAGCAATATGACAGACTACATCAACCCATTTTTTAAACAAGAATATGAACTGTCTCACCCTGTACTTCGACCAAACACTGCTGCATGTTCTTTCCAGTAAGTGGATAATATTATATTTTGTTCACTAAAAATGCTGTATTGTCATTTTCTTGTGCTAAATAGGCATTCACACTGCGTGAAAAATGGAAATTCTAGACTAAGCACGTCTAGAAACTAAGTCTAAGCACGCCGGGTGCTTAGGCGTGACTAGTTTTGACACGTCTAGGTACGCGATGAAACCAACTCTAGACATCTCTAGGCACGTCTAAGCACACGCAGTGCAAAGACGTGCTTAGAGTGTGACAAAAAGTCTTGGCACGCCTTGAGACTAATGATTGAAATCTAGAATAAAGTAATTATCGAATCAGATGAATGTATATTGTTATAAGCAATTATGATCAACATTCATAATTTAGACATATTTTCACTGAAATATACTAATTTCTTTTTATCTTTTATCTATTTTATTTATTATGTTGTATAACAAACTGTTCACGTATACCATGACGTTTTACATATATGATTGAATAATAAATCACGTACTGTTTAAAGGTTGTAAAATACCAAACAAGCTGTACTGATAACTAGTAAAAATATTGTTTCCCGGGCATCTATCAAGTTGTTACATCAAGCCCCGGGTATCAAGCAAGATACTAGAATAGTATTATTATTGTGCGTCTGACCAAATGGATGAAAAAACTATGTGTTCATATTGTGTATGCAATGTATCATTACTAATTGATATAGGGCAGGGGCGAAGCCAGCTTTCATTCAGGATGGGGGGGGGGTGCCATCGCCAAAAACGTTTCGGTTTTCAGTCACGGGGTTGCGATTGTTGCATAAGCAAGCCATGAAAATAAGATTTATTTTGAATTTTACAAAAATTTCTTCAAAATTGAGCTTTTTCTTTCTCGTGGTTTTCTTTTTATTGCACCCCCCCCCCACCCTCGCTTCGCCTATGGACGCAATTAGCATATTCATTTAAGTTGCCTCTCCCCGTAGATACGCGGAGTTTCTAGACCATCCTATGTCTAGAAATTGCAAGAAATTCCACATTTGATGCAGTGATCATACTTGCGAATCATATTGAAATTAATCTTATTAAGCAAACCAAGAATTAAAATACAGTGTACGTTACGCTAAAAACAAAAACTCATTTGCACAATTACAGAACGATGATTCAAAATAGTTTTTTGAAACCCTTTTTTTAAAGAGTACTTCTCTCCTATATAGTGCAGGAAATAATTGTTTGGACGGTGGTCAATATTACATACACCCCCTCCATAAAATTAGTAACAGGATCCCTTTTTCGGCCACCTATCTAATCTAAGCCTGATTATGATTGGCGATTTAGATAAATTCGTCAAATGTCACAAATAACTGAACTACTAGATCTAGCATTGCAATTGAGGAAAGAATTCGATTTAAATATTGATATGCTTCGAAATGAAAACACACGATTGCCAATCTAATGGAAGGGGTACGTAATGAAGACGCGATATTGTGTTTACCGTCCATCGTCCATCGCTCGAAAAGAAAATCGCATTGTCCTGACCAATCCATCTCACAAAAATCGCATTCACCTCAAAACTCGCTAACAAAAATTGAATTCGTCTCCCATTTGAAAATTAAGAGATTTTGAAACGAAAGGAGTATGAAGCTCTGTTTGAGCCTATTAAACACAGGCGAATGGTAATTTCATCATGTTCCGACACAGTTAAAGTCATAGACATCTGAGCAACAAGCGATTTTGTTTGGTCGCTGTTATATTGTTTTGTTGATTTTTTGATGCTGGTGTGTTTATATTATTCAATAAAATTTTATCTTTCAAAATGTCATTAGTTAGTCATTCGGATATTTTGTAGACTTATGATATAAGACTTCTGGTTTTGTATCATCATACAAAGTTTAGATATGGACTTCGAACTTCAGATCGAATTGAATATGGCTTATGGTTTTATACCCTGTGACAACATGATATTAACCTCTGGCCCTCTGAGCCCTCGAGAAATGTATCGTGTCCCTTTGGAAGGGTTGGTGCACGTCACCCCCCACCCAGCCAAAAAGTCTAGATCTTTCAAAAGCGTGCAGCTTGCACTGCGTGAAATATGGAATTCCAAGTCTTAAAGCGTGACAAAAAGTCTTGAGACGCCTTGAGACGAATAATCAAAATCTTTGCTTATATTCATTATTATAGAAATACTAATTTGCCCATGGTGCCTTTAATTGAAGTACCTCATAAAATTTCTCCGGTTCTCTTTATTTTTATCAAATTCATTGGTTATTTTGTTACATGAATATTGAATCGGATATGCATTTTAAATCAAGATAAATAATTCGTGGGTTGTTTAGAACATATCCAATAGGAATAACAAATAAGCTGGACTGGTTCAATGCAATTTTTACGTATCAAACCCAAGCCATAGCCAGTTTTTGCCGAGGGGGTTACTCTGGGGGAGCTAGTGTAAAAACATTGAAAGATCCCGGGAAAGATCATTCAAGCAGTGCTAAAATGGTGATAACTGCATTGATCTGAAAGAACTTTTGGACGAGGGGGGCAGTCTCTACACGGACCTCTCATATAGCAGAAATATTTTCTAGGACATTACAGTACTTCAGAGACATATAATAATGTCTCTGAGTACTTGTGACCCCGGGCTTGTGACCAAATGACTTTTCAGCGACTTGTTAATCAACAGGTTACTTATATACGAGGAGATATTTTGCCCCATGCCCATGTTCTTTTTTACTGGGCTCGTCCACAGGCAAGTACAGATAGTAATTATAATTCCCACCAATTACTCATTGAGCAGTCATCTAGAAGTAGAATTAAAAACATACTAATTACAGTCTAATTGCAGTCTGATGCGATTATGTTAGTTTCCATGCATTATACAAAAAATAATCGAAATAAATTAATATTGGATGGAGGGGGAGTGGATGGAGGGGGGGAGTAACGTGTATATAAGACATGATAAGACATGCTACTTGAATTTATTCTTATAACTCCAAATTTTCCCATTCTTCATTCTCCAGAGATAATTTCCAGTTTCTTCCTTTTTTTAATAACACGAGTTTTTTTGAATTTGTTCCATCGTAAAGATATATAACTCCCCCTCCACCCCCCCCCCTTCCATCCACTCCCCCCCCTCCATCCAATTTATTTCGATCATTTTTTGTATAACGCATGGAAACCAACTTTAAAAAAGTGAGCAATGTCATTAGTGTTGTGATAATATCGTCCCTTATACCTATTTATCACAGGTCGCGTAGACCATTGTTGCCTGCTTTATAGCAAAAACATTGACTTTTGCACGTTGGTGATGATGCGCCTTTTTTTATAGATCCCATATCTTAGAAGCGTGTCAGTTCAAAAAAAATACTAGAAGACCTAACATATTTCTCCATGCACTGCGCCTATTCATTTGGCAATTCAGTTGTAAATTTTCTCTTGAAAAAATAAATCTTCCAAATTTGTTGAATCATCTTGCAGAAATCGCCTACCCCCCCCTACATCCATTTTGTACGATCACCGGGCGTGAGTTTAGGCAACATTATTTTCAAACAAACTGGTCTTATTATTGCCGAAAAGATCTGTGCAGAAATGTTTCAAGAGCCTAAAAGAAGACAGTTTTTCAGAGTATGCCCCACTCCCCTTGCCAATGTCTAAGTTTACCCCTATATGAACCACCTTTATAATGTCCCCTCCCGGGTGCCACCTCCCCCCCCCCCCTTCCAGATCCACCAATTGTTTTAAACCATGCTGCCTATATTAACATTATCATATAATCAAAACTGATATCCGTTTGAGTTTTCTAACCCTGCTATGAAGGATGTAACAAATATACAATGTATCTAGAATGGTATATTACACTTTTTCTGAATGTTGATATCCCAAAAACATATATGTTTGGTTTATCAACACATACTGGACATAATAAACGAGTTTATACATTGTAACATAGATAAGAGAATTGGGGAAAATTACAATCTTCTTTGATCAAATTATTAAGATTTAATCTCCAGCTGAGGTGCAATCAAAGTGTTGATACACATAATTAGCAATCAGAAAGATGCAATGATTAAGTTAGATTAAAGTTTTCAATTGCCTTTGTTGTAACATCTTATTTCTAAAGAATGGATATTGAGATTATTGATGTATGGATGTATTCATATTCATATCAAACATTATAGTTTACAGTGGAACTCCTTCAATAAATGCAACATATTTACCATTTTAGACTTCATATTGGACTTTCTGCATAATGATAAAATGTTTATGATATAGTTTTTGATAAAACCCAAGGGCCGTAGCCAGCTTTCAGTAGGGGGGGTGCAATCGCCAAAATATTTTCGGTTTTCAGTCAGGGGGTGCGATCGTGACATAAGTGAGGCAAAACAAGATTTGTTTTTGAATTTTTACAAAAAATGATGCAATTTCCTTCAAACCCGAGCAAGAAGCTTCAAACAAAAAATCAAGGTGAAGGGAAATGTCATAAAGATTTGACGTATATCGCGATATAGCCAAGCCCCTTCCAAACGCAAACGGCAGATAAGAGGGGTTCTGGCGTACCAGAATGTTTGGCCATGGGCTCTATCGGTAGAGCCCATGGTTTGGCGTAGGATTAAAAAGGAATGCGTGATTGATCATTATTGATCAGATGTTTAATAAGCCACTTACAAGATACAATTCTAAATATAGTTGATATTGTGCATGTAAAGTTTGTTTTAACACATAGGCGTAGCCAGGTGGGGGGAGGGGGGGGGGGGTGCGATGGGTGAATGATCGTATAACCAATAGAGAAAGAAGAAGAAAGGAGCTTTGAATGCCTTTTATTTGAAACTTTTAGTTCAATTTTGAAGAAAGTTGCATCAATTTTTGTAAAATTCAAGATAAGTCTTAATTTTTTGGCTTGTTTATGCCACAAACGCACCCCCCCCCCCCCCCCGACTGAAAGCTGGCTACGCCCCTGTACCATGTATTCAATTGATATAGCTATAAAATACAAGAAGACATAACTGATTTGGCATTTCGAAAATAGTGTTTTTGTTTCCTT